TCTCTGCAAACAGATCAGGCTGTTAGCTCTGAAATGGTGATGTAAACAACAACAACAATCAAATTCTGACACATTATAGTGAATTCTGCTTAATAATTCATTTTCCACAGAAGTAAACCATATTGAATTCATTAGCATTTACTTCTGGATTTGGGTATAGGACTGCAACCTTCGCTTGATTGTTTACAAATTAATCAGGATTATCTATATGTTTGATACTATACTCATGCTAAATTCATGACATAAGCAGGATAGAAATATAGAACAGACCTGATACAGAAAAGACAAAGACATCTCTTTACTTTTCTATACTTGTTTGCTGCTGCTACTTCTAACCCAACTACTTTTTTTTTCACTTTGAAGACTGAAACTGGTCACACCTTGAAAGCCCCTTCTAATCATGTTGCACTTTATGAACCTTTTAAAATCTGAATAACTAAAATGTCACTTCCGCGTGCCTGTTGCTACTTTGAATTAATGGTGACAGATGGATGCTCTGTTGGGTATTTAATCTGGAGATACCAGTACACGCTTGCATCCTTCCAAAGGTATATCTTTTCCACATGGTCAAAATGTGTTGGGTCACAGTTCACTGCAGGGTCCTTGATGAACTGCCAAAAAAAAAAAAAAAGGTACCAGACAGTGCTTTGATTATGACTTTTATGGACCATCCATATAACTGATCAAAAATCACACACACACCCCATTTTATGAACTGAAGAGACCACCTCTTCAAACATGACCCAGAGTTTGATCATTGGTTTATGATTCTGAACTTCACGGCAAATATTGCTCAGTGCTTTTGCCAGACATTTCATTGTGCAAAATTATAGCAGGCTGCATTTCTGAATACACACATACCAAAGAGTAAGTCTTATTGAACTAAGAGAGAGTTACTACTTAATAGACATCATGCATAGGATTGTTTACTTAGTGTCTTACTCTGTATTTTTAAAAACCTTGTTGTCTTCAAGCTCATGAAGGTTGGGAGCCAGGTTTCTATTTTATTACACTATTCATCCAATAAAGGTAGGCTGCTGCTGAATAATATTTTCCCTTTGAATATTAAATGAATAGGTTTTTGTGTTACATTTCTGGGCTTCTCATTTGTATAAGATAAATATGTTGCAGGTCAGGTACTGCTCTTCTTGCTTATTGTTTAAAGAAATGAAAGGCTTATTTTAAAATGGTATAGATTACAAAAAAAGTTAAATCATTTGTCTTGCATAGTCATAGTTATCAGCAGTGCTTTTTTCCTGGGGGTACGCAGGGGTACACATACCCCTAAACATTTTGTGAATCTTTGTACTTTTGTCCATTTACTGTATTTCTTTCCCCCGATTTGAACTATAAAATTGTGATTTTCTTGAGTCAAAATGAGAGTACCCCTAAACATTTTTTTTTTAATCAGTGGTTATCAGTGACATATTTATGGACTCAGATTGTTTTTTAAACTGGGAAGCCAGCACAAGGCGTCTAGGCCTTACATAAATAGGCCCTGAATTAGCATGTGGCATGAATAGCATGTTTAAACAATTAAAAATTGCAGTTGTCTTAATGTAATTTGTTAGCTTTATTAATACTAATTTGCTGTTGCTTTTTGTTCGATGGGGCATTGTACCCAAGTATCTGCAGTGGATGAAAGCCATGCTGTAGTATTTGCAATAATGGGAGTTGCTTGTTCCTTCCTTAATCAGTCACAGAGTTCTTTAGGAAAACTTTAATTTGCTCTTTGGTTATTAGCTGTACTTAGAAATGACCTTGTGGGGTATGGAAGCATGGCACAGTGGCACTTTCCAGCTGTACACATGGTATCCGTCGGGGTACAATCATGCTCAGTCCCAGCACCGCAGGCTTGGACATATGTTGAGTTTTATTTCTTTCTTCTGACATTAATCCTATTCACCAGCTGTTCTGCAAGCTGCTATTCTTCAGCTTGGAGATTACATTTTTGGGGATACCAACAAAGGTCTTACTTGACCAGCGCTCTCACACCACTTACTTGAGAAATATTTGGATTTTAGGATTAGTAAGTCTTTTTTCTGCCTATGTTCTTTGTCGTCTTTGGAGAGCTGAGATTTTAACTTAATTTATCATCACTTTTAATTCACTGCCGGAAAGCCCTTAAGGGAGCCACTATTTTCACAGTACTTTTCTATTAAAAAACAGCATTTAGGTGTAGAAAAATATAATTCACATTTCATACATTTCAACCTAAAGAACACAGATAATGGCATTGTCCTGATAATATTCCAATTTGTGAAAAACATAGTTTTCTCCCCATTTTTCAGTATGTTATGTTTCATTGTCTAATCTATCACTAATCAAGTTTCACTGACTATGAAGTACGTTACACTCATAAAATATACCAATAAGTGGTATGGATTTCTCACTTCATATTCCAGATGATCTGCCCATAAGCAGGATGTTAAACATCTGTAGTTTAAGCCTTTTGAGACTAACAGGTGCATTAATGTTGCAAAGAAATGTGGCCTGAACAATAAGGTTACAGACCATGCATTATATAGAAGCAAAAGCAGCCTGATTTAATGAAGCAGAGTTCACATAGTGTTACATAACAATGAGATTTCAACTTGTTTCTTTTGTATAAATATATTTTAATTGTATTCCTGGATGCAGTTTTTTTAAAAATCCCATTTTCAGTGTTCTTAAGTGCAGGTCCTGTTTCAGTATTGAATCAAAGCAAGACTGATAACTCACATAATTCCTGGCTTCATGTCTGGTTTAAGTGGAATCTGAATAGTCAGAATATGCACTGAGAATGGAGAATTTGCTCATTTGTTACGATTATGAGAATGTGAACCCTAACCCCATCTGCACCAAGTAACACCCATCTATCTTACTGCCTTGGTTCCTTGTTGCTTCTTTCACAGAATCTGTAGCTAAAGTCAATTCTCTTTGTATTGAAATGCTAATCTGCAATTGTCCTATAGGTTTGCCATGTACTTTAGAGTCCATATCCAAGAAAATAAGTAGTGAGAAGAGAAGGGGAGAGCAGGACAGAATAACATTTTTGAGAGCAATATTCCTAGAGAGATACACCAGTAGTGAATCCTTCGGTACTATATATGGCCATTCTATTTATAGCAATATTCATATTTTTATTGGTGGCCAAAGCGTTGCTTATAGGAAAACCTACAGGTGACTAATAGGAGTTGCTCACTAAGTGGAATAATGAATAGTATTAGGTGTCAATTAAATCAAGCTTCCCCGAGGTGCAGGTGCTCCACAATGTACTGACACATTTCAAGTAGCAGCACCACTTCACCCATGCATATGAACAAGCACATTTGCATATTAAAAAGCTGAAAATTATTTAACTGAAGCAAAAGTCTTTTAGAGATGATGGAGGTTATTAAAACTGTTGACAAGAAAGAAGGTAATTGCCTGAAAATGAGAGATGACATTCTGCTATACACAGGGAACGTTGTTTTTGTTGTATTGTGCAGCAGTGCCTGGGTGTATAACCTATTACGTTGAGATTGCTCCTATGCAATTAGACCCTTTTTGTCCTCACTTCAATAAGGCTATGATTATGAAGGATTGAAGAACACTTGGCATATTGAATGTCTGTTGTTTTTATAACTTCGTCAGAAATGACAAAACACGTTTTGTGTCCTGTTTTTTCTTTGTAGGCTTATTGATTCTGTGATTATAATATTCATAAAAGACAATGTGTTCATGGTTGAACACTCTGTCATTTATACAGGTTTTATTCCCTCCACCTCTCTTTTTCACCACAGTACTTGTTTGAATGCCAAGGTGCTAGTCATAGAGGCAGGCAGGCAGGATGTGTGTGTGTGTGTGTGTTTTTAAAAGCATTTAAAAACGAACCGGTGAGAAGTTTGTCAGTAACAATTCCAAATATTTCTATCTGAAATGAGTACAAAAATATTCAGAAAATGAGATCAGAACAATCCAGCCGCATAGAGCTAATTTTTACTTTTTATCTCAGAGCAGCAATTACAATGCAGTACATCTCCTTTGTCCTCTGGATCTCCATACGAATGCTCAGTTCAGTTCGGGGGTTGTGTCTTAGTAGGACTACAACACAGAATTTTTACGCTTAACAGAAGGGAAAGCTTTTCTGTTTAAATTGTTTCCCATTTGAAAATAAATAAACTAATAGAATTTAATTTTAAGGGGCTTTTAACAAAGGAAAAACTCACTGAATTATATTATTTGGGTCTAGATTCAAGGGGTCATATGGGACAATGCAATGGGATGCCTGAAACCTCTCTTTGAGTGCTATGCCAACCAACAGATCTCTCCTGAAACATGAATGGCCTTTGGGAATGGTCTCTGGCACTATACTAGGAACTCCAATAAGGAAAAAGAAGTCTAGTGGAAAGTTCAAGGGGATCTTTGGATCTGGGTCCAAGTGTGCTAATCCTCAAATGGCTACAAGATGTCAGAATTGTTCATGGTAGAAGAGAAGGTGAGTTCACGAATCAATTGACATAAGTTGTTGTTCTTTTTAATAGATATTGGAAATCTCAAGTAAAGTATCAGAGGAATATTAAATGTCTCAGGATAGCCTTGGGAATCATCATCATCACCTCTGGGTTGGATCCAAAGGTTCCTTTGTTCCAAAGGAAGGACTTGCTTCCTTTTCGCCCCACTTATCTACCTAGTAGTTAATCATGAATATTCCATCAATATATAATCTGGAGAGATGCTGTTAGGTGTTAAACTGGATGTTTTCTGCTGCTAAAGTACTGAGCACGCATTTATGGTGAGTGCTTACGTCGATAGGCTTGCTTCACATACTCTGTGTCACTAACATATTGCAAGACTGAGAGAATGGGATTTGCTTCTCTTTCATTTGTACTAATTCATCTAACAAAATAACTTATTCCTTACGTTATAAACTGCAGTGCTGTTTAGCTAGCTTGTGGATTTGGGTATCATATAATTGCAGAGTTGGAAAAGGACCACAAGGGTCATCTAGTCCAACCCCCTGTAATTCAGGAATCTTTTGCCAAACGGGGGGCTCGAACCCACAACCCTGAGATTAAAAGCCTCATGCTCTCCCTACAGAGTTGTCCACTAGGGTGGCAAGTGATATATGCAACTTGCTCCAGATTTTAGTGAAACAACATTCCATACAAAATCTAACACCAGTGCCTTGTGGAGTGCTAAAACTGGAACTACCTTTACGGTCCAACAATATGATACATTGCACGTGTAAGTAGGTCCGGGGCCAAAGCAATAGCACCAAACATTTTTGGTCTGAGTACTGTTGCTACAGTTTAAAGGCTCTTCTAGATTTTAAGTTTTGACAGTGATAATGAACCCCAATTCATTTTGTAAGTTTGTCCCTGGTTCCCCCCCCCTTATACTTTCATGTCAAAGCATTTGGTTTGTGTAGTATAGCAGAGCCTTCAGCAAATTCTTAGCTAATCTAAGGATGTGATATGAATTGCATTCATGCAGTTAATGTGAACATTTTTGTTAAGCAACTCTGGGAAAGCTTGATAAGCCTTGGGACCGTGAGATGAGGAGGGAAGTTTAAACCCCCTTTCCATGGTCCCAGCAAAAAAATAAAAATAAATAAATAAATTAAAGCCACCCTCCAAAAGGGTGAATTTTAAGGGAAGCCTCCACTGGATAAATTTCTATTGTTCTCCATGAATTTGTCTAATTCCCTTTTAAAGGAGCCTAACCAGGGGCCACACCACATCTCGTGGCAGTGAAGTCTCTAAATTATGCACTGTGTGAAGTAGTCTTTTCTCTTCTCTCTCCTGAACTACTGCTGCCCATCAGTTGTCCTGTGGGATCCTATGTTTTAGTGATGCAGAGACAAACAAATAAAAGAGAAGTAAGAGTTGCAGTTTTATGATAAGTGTTCTAGGCCCTTCACAGCTAGTGTGAAGGTGATAAAATAATAACCTGTGAATTGCAGCTTAGTATACACTGAAAATTAGCTCTCTGTAATTTGTGTTGGTGAAAACATACTTTCTATACTGAGAAGACTGAGTGAGTCTTCCCCTTACCCAGTTAATCTTTGAATTACACAGTACCACATTAGATCGATGTGAAAAGTTCTCAGGGTTTCCTTTCAGCAGTTTCTGAGAACTTTGGATGAAGGACACATTTTTGGCTCTTTAACCTCAAATTGTGCCTATTAATATTCACAGTCTGAGAGCCAACAAAATTTTAAAAATGAAGGAGTGGGGGAGGAAGGAATTAAGACTGTTATCCTGCACACAGCTGCTGTTGCTTGTTGTTACAATGGGGGTTCCACATGCATGCCACAGGGAGTGAGATTGGGAGAAGGATAGGATTTGTCTGAGAGAGTTGGTTCGAATTTGAGATGAACATACACTCTGAGGAGGATATCTATAGCTGGAGGAAGGAGCCTCATAGTTTAGAACCTGTGGGAATACAGACTACCTGGGTCTCAGTGTAGCCAGGAGGGGAGAGTTCTTCTAGGTAAAGAAGACTTCCAAACCAGTAACAAGGGGTGAGGTGATCCCTTGGGTCTGTTATACCAACTGGAATACCTCAGGAGTGGGATTGTTAAGAGAGGGGGTAATTGATGGAAAGTGCCCCTCACTCATGAACCAAATAGTCAAATTGTGATGGAAGCTGTGCTGTGTTAAAAGCATTTAACTGTACTAAGAAAAGGAACAAGAGTGAAGTTTAAGAAAAGCTGTGCATTCATTATTGTGTTAAAGCCTGAGACATCTTTATATTTAGTTTAAGCAATAAGTTAACTTCTACCCGGCAGAACACATTTGCTGATCCAACTTTGTTTCACCAGTCTTTTCTTGTTTGATCAACCCCTGCCTGAGACTTGAAGTCACTGAGTTTTCCCTCACACAAGACCCCCACAAGATAGCCTGTGGTAAATTGAAGACATTCATGTAAATAGCATACCGTAAGGTGTGGGTGCCAAATTTAATTGGGGGTTAGCGATAGGTCCGCTACAGCCTCTCTCACAACTCAAGATCATCCAGTGAAACTGAGTGTTTGCAGTTTAAGGACAGACAAAGAAATTTCACTCAGTGCCTTGTTAAACTATGAAACTCTTTCCCAAAAGAGGCAGTGAAAGCCACCAACAAGGATGACTTTAAGAAGGGATTAGCCAAATTAATGGAGAGTAGAGCTATCAGTGGCTACTAACCATGATGGTTATGTTCTACCCCCACTGTCAGAGGCAGCATGCTTGTGAAAACCAGTAGCTATAAACTGCAGGACAGGAGAGTGCTGTTGTACTCAGATCCTGCTTGCACACTCCCCATAGGCATCTGGTTGGCCACTGCTTGAACAGGATGCTTGTCCAGATGGACCATTGCCTGATCAAATTGGCTATCCTTATGTTCTTATGTATATTATTGTAGAATGCTTATTTTCTTTGAACTGCTTTGAGCACAAATGTAATTTTGGGAAATGTGACATATAAGTGAATTTGCTATGACAGTTCTGCACCATTTGAAGTTTTCCAACTGTATTTAGAGGCAGCCCAACATAGAGCACATTGCATTAGATTGCATTAGAGCTTGGAGATCATGGCTGGATGGATAACTGAGGCCAGGTCTGTCATCTACAGATAGAGCCACATTTGGTGAAGTAGTCTCATCTGGTAAAAAATTCCTGTTCACTCCAGCTGAACTTCTCCACTTAGAACTCCCAAAGTCCATACTTCAACCCAATCGAAGGCCAGTTGTAAACCTCCATCTAGAGCAGTTTAGTTCTCTGCCCATGGTACCTGTATCTTGTCCAGATTCAGTCTCTGCTTGTTCACCCTCATCTACCCCAAACCTTTTCCAGGCACCAATTCAAGGTTTACATGGCCTTCCTGGAAGAACAAGATGGAAATGATAGGTGGAACGGAGTGTCATCTACATATTGGTGGCACTTCAGCCCAAACCTCTGGGTGGCTTTCCCAAGTGGTCTCATGTAGATGCTGAGAAACATGGAGAACCTTGCAGAACACCATAGTCCAATAGTCTACCTTTTGAGATTGCTTCTCCAGGAAACACCATGGCCACCATAACACCACACCATGTAAGCCAACCCAGATAAATGATCCAGAAGGATACCACTGTTGCTGGTGTTGAAACCATAAGAAGTCCAGAAGCATCAACAGGATTGCATTTCCCCCCATTCATCCCTTGTGCATGCCATCCATCAGTTATGCATAGGGCAACAAATTGTTAAATAAAGGTTAGTTGCTCACTGTTTCTGATGACCAAGATTCTAATAATTGGGGTAGATATGTGAGAACATATGGGATAGATAATTGGGGTAGATTTTTGGATACCTGTAATTAGCTGGATGGATCATTTATCAAACAGGTATGGAAAAAATAAAGGCTTAGAACAGTACAGCAATTTATAATCGCTATGGGGAACACCATGCTATATTGATACTTTCAGCAGCTAATATATCAAGTATGGAAGTAATACATGCATGTGCATGCATCTTTAAACATCTGTTTACATGTATCTAGGAAACGTCTCAATCAGATTTATGTGATGCATGTACAAAGTTGTTCAATAATGCATTCACATACATATATTACTTCCGTAGCTGGCACATTTGCTGCAGGAAATATTGTAGTTAAACTGGGCATTTTAATGAAAAAAAAATACTGTATCTTCACACAAATGTGATTTTAAGTATTTAAAGATAAATGTACTCTTTTTTCTGACATCCACACATTAGACATTTGCTGTGGGACACTGCTTGTCACATGTAGGCACTGTACACACTGTAGTCTGTGAGTGAGTGAGCTCCATTAAAAGTTATGGAATGGTCAAGTATTTCTGTAAAGTAAAGGTAAAGAGACCCCTGACCATTGGGTCCAGTCGTGGCCGACTCTGGGGTTGCGGCGCTCATCTCGCTTTATTCGCCGAGGGAGCCGGCGTACAGCTTCCGGGTCATGTGGCCAGCATGACTAAGCCACTTCTGGAGAACCAGAGCAGCACAAGGAAACGGCATTTACCTTCCCGCCGGAGCGGTACCTGTTTATCTACTTGTACTTTGACGTGCTTTCGAACTGCTAGGTTGGCAAGAGCAGGGAGCGAGCAACGGGAGCTCACCCCGTCGCGGGGATTTGAACCGCCGACCTTTTGATCAGCAAGTCCTAGGCTCTGTGGTTTAACCCACAGCGCCACCCGCGTCCCAAGTATATCTGTACTTGGCCCTAAATAATTGGGGTATTTTTTTTTTCTGGCAATGGAGATAGAGATATTTAGCTAGGGGTGGATTTTGGAGTGAGCTAACAAGGTCCTGACCTAGGGCTCATGATTTTTATATGGTGCTTGTGCAGTCTACTAATTTCCCCTCACAACTTATCAGTTAAAAGGGCCTTTTTCAGCAGCCTGACCTAGGGCCCGTGGTGTTCATGAAACAGCACTCATTTGGGCAATGAGGACAGTGCTGAGGGAAAAGAAGTTGTTAAATGGTTCACTGAGATTCTGAGCAGTTTTCAAATGGTCTGCAAAAATCATGAAGTTTGAGAACTGCTACCAGTGGAAATATATATTCAAAAGCAAATCCTGATTATGATACTGAGAAATGTTTGTCCCCAACTATGGGCTAATCCAAGATATGGAGGAAAAAACATTCATATGTTACATGAATTCATATTGTGTATGTGTACTTATATTGAGTCATACTAATTGTCTGGCTTGCATTATTTGAACTATTCTAAACCTAGGACAGTGTTAAAATAAGTGTGTGGGGAGTGCAATGTTTTGTGACAAAATGCATCCCATTCCAAATGCCCTTTCTTATTATGGTGATAATTGGAGGATGTTCTCCCATTCAGTGTGAGGGCAGAATGTCATCGCATAGCCAAGTTTGATTGGCTGCATGATCCTTGATTGGCAACATAAAGACTCTCTTTCAAAACCAAAATCACCAAAGCAGTTGCCAATAGAGGAAGCAAACAAAAATGTAATGATGTGAAAAAGACAAAATGAGGCCAAAAAGTTTTGCAGGGTATTTCAAGCCCTATGAAACTCTCTTTTGCACCTGATCATATCTAGTGCATAGTCCCCCACCCACTTCCCAGACATCTGCAGACAATGTGAGGATGTCAGGAGA